TGCCAATGACTAGAAATGTGTGTGAAGTAATTATATTAGTCGGTATGACTAAACACCTGACTGAACATCTTAGAAGGAAAGTTATTTGCTTTAGTTTACAGTTTCAGACGTTTTAGTCAGTGATGTTGGGAAGGGTTTTAAAAGTATGAGAAGAATGTAAAAATTATTACACTTCTCAAAAACAAGCAGGGAGCATGTCTGGAAAGATAGCTCGGTAGTTATCACACTTGATTTGCAAACCTGAGAACTTCAGTTTAGATGCCAAGAATGTGGAAGTAGAAAGCAGTAGTTCAAGTGTTTATGATCCTAATATCTCCTACCTGAAAATAGGAGGTGAAAACTGGAATAGCTAGAAGCTTTCAGACAAACCAGCTTGGTGTAGGCAATAGTGGCAAATGCCTGTCTCACACTTAAGGTTTCTGTTTCATCAAACATGGAGAAGTATAGATGGTGCAGAACTGGAAGTGTTATACCTACTGACCAGCATTCATGGTACTAAAAACACTTTGCATGGATCAGAGAAGAAAGGTAATTCACTTACTAACCCTACAACCTATAACATTGACCTCCCTGGGAGATACACTGGTGCAATTGATGCACAAATATTATGATAGAAACCAGTTACTTTATGATTGAGTTTTAAGTTTCACTCCATGAGTCAATATGAACCCTTTCCTGACACTGTTAAAGTGGTCAAGAACCTGAGACTAGATAGGCCATGGGCTCGGGAAAACCAAATACTATTATTCTGCCAAAGAAATGTAGCAATACAATGATATTCTACTATACTCCTACATCGTTGTCACTCAAGCTTCCCCAGAGACATTGCTTCTTGCAGTAAATAGGAACTAACACAGACCCACAACTGGAAAATGTCCAAAGATTGGGAGACTGGGGCACTTATTCTCAAATGGGATGTCTTTATCAAACCCCTCTAAGGCTCAGGATGTATGTGGAAGAGGGGGTGGAAAGATGGTTAGAGTCAGATGTGATGGATGACTACACGGAGACTGTTAGGAGCAATTTTACCGCCAGCCTTGTCCCAGAGCTGGGTCAGCCCCAAATAACAGAGACACTGGATTAGATATATAAAGCTGTTGACCTGTTACTAGCATTTCTTATTGGCTAGCTCTGTCTTAAATATTAACCCATCATGTAGGTGTTTCCACGTGGTCTTACCAGAGAAAGGGTTCAGACCTCTTCCTCTCAAGTCCCTACATCTTGAATCTCCTCCTACATCTCCCAGAATCCTCCTTGTCTCCTAGTCCTGCCTATCTTGCCTTCATATTTGCCAACAATGCTTCATTTGTTAACAATAAGAAAAAAACATATTTACAGAATGACATCTCCCATCTTCTCCTCTGTCTAGAATATAAAGGTTTTAACTTTAACATAGTAAAATATATAACAAAACAGTTATCAAATAAGAACTATAGTTATTAATATTTAGTACATTAACATTTAGCAAGGTTTAAAGAAAATATTCCATCATCTATCTTATCTTTGTGAGTATAAAGTCTTATATGTAACTTATCTTTAATCCCAACTAAGGAAAACTGTAACCACAACTATCTGTCCTCAACTCCATCAAGGACCATAGAAGGATAGTATATAAATACTAGAAATGAAAGAAATATCTCACTACCTGGACAGTCACCCAAAGTCTCACAGCAATGTTGGTGCAACCAGTTTTGGCTAAGGCCTAGACTATCTGACAGACCACTATAGAAGCAGGGAGGTAGAAAGGCTGTCTTACTCTGACTTGGTAAGGTTCAGCAGTCTTCTGTTTGTCTCATGCAAACACCATAGGACAGCATATCCAAGTCAGTGGTCGAGGTGGGGGCAGTTCTTTGCTCAAGAGGCCATTAGCCGAGGAGAGGATGGACTCCAGAAAGAGTGACATCAGTGCCTGCTGTTTCTGTCCTCGCTGAACCGTTTGGAAGCTGCCCATCTGCACTTCCTGCCTACTCTAGTATTGTTATCTCCTCGGTCTTTAATGAGGTTGAAGATTAATTAGACTATCACCATTATTATTCTCTCTCCCTAGATAGAAATATTAGGTATTAGACTTAAACTTTCCAGCCTAGGACAACTCCATTATAATCTCTGTTATGCCTCCACCCTAGGACTAGATATGCAGGTCTTAAGTTTGTTCTTGATTTTCCTTTTCTTAAAGCATACTTGATATTCACTGTCTTGGTATATAATTTTGTATCAAGCCTAAATCTTTTCTTTAGACTAAAAGGGGAATTGTAGTGAGATATCCACCACACCCGCACCTGTTGCATTGACCACATCTATCAGGGTGGGGATAGGGACCAACATGACATGGAAGAACTAGGTCTGGGGTTGGGAATCCTGGAGCTCTCTCTTGCTTCCTGGATGGAGACAGAGAACATCTGGAGGCATCCTTGGGTCTGGAACCTGATGGCATTCATCTGTCTCTGTTGTAAGTTATTTCTTCCTGAATAAACATCTATTCAGCCTTGTTTTCCCAATCCTTATTTTTCTACAATAGGAGACAGTGTCTTCATACACAACAGACCTGATGCATAGATGAAGTCACAGTACTGAGAACGGAATGTGGGCATGGGCTCCCACACCTCACCAAGAAGCTATATGCAGTTGCTATCCACTGGCAGAGGAAAAGTTAGTTTTCTCCACTGGATTCTCACTGGGTATATTAACCACACCCCAGGGCAGGCTCCATGGCCAACACAAAACTAATTCCCTGGTGTTTTGGGAGATTTCTTGTCTCATTTTACTTAGTTTGTAAATTACTGGTTTTTTTTTTTTATCATATTTGCCTTTTATTTCTATATTTTGGTTTTTGTTTTGTGGTGATATTTTGTGTATCGGTGTGTGTGGGTAATGGGAGATGTCATTCTGTATATGTTTCTCATACTGGTTAATGAATAAAGCACTGTTGGCCAATAGGAAAGGAAGCTAGGAGGGACTAGGAGACAAGAAGGAAAGAGGAGGTAGTAAGGAGGAGCCAAGATGGAGAGACCGGGGAGACCAGACGCCTGCCTCACTCCCCGGCGGGCGGAAAAACAGTACTACCTACATGTCTGGGCTGTTTTTATTTCTTTTTTCGTTTTTTTTTTTTTTTTTTTTTTTTTTTTTTTTTTTTTTGGCTTTTAAAGAGAATAACAAATTTGGATAGGTTAGTGAGGATCTTGGAGGAATTGGGTAAACGGGAAGATGATCGTAATACATTGTATGAAAACAAATTTTTCAATAATAAAGAAAAGGGGGAAGGTTTCTGTCTGGACAAGTGCAAGACCAGAACAACATCTGAGCTTGTCCCTTTCATCCACATACTCACCATGGCATGTGCACACACACACACTTCAAGCCTCCCTCCCACACACAAGTATGTCAATAATATTTACTAATCCACTACAGCATGGTGGTAGGTCAACTCATTGTTTTGAAAACTTGTAAATAATTGAATAATTATTCTCATTTAAGAAAAATAAGATTTGTACCTCAGAATAATGAATGTGTACCAAGGGTTAAGCACCCTTGATAGGAGTATTTTAATTAACTCCTAAATGAAGACGATACTAGACTATGGTAATTTTCAGAAATATGTTCGCATAAAATGAAGGTGAACTAGACATTCTATTTCTGCACATGGATGCCACATTATTAGAAACAATCCTTAGGTGTCAAGATGTGTGCCCTTGTGTATATCGAATAAAGGCTCTGGAGAGCATTTGTGTTGTGTGTGTGTGGGGGGGGGCTGGTGGAGGTGGGGATTGTGCATTTTGTGGAGGTTGTCATCCATCTCTTCACCTTGTGCTTTGAAACAGTCTTTCAGTGAACCTAGAGTTCATTATTTACGCTGGACTGGCAGTCCTCAGTCAAACTCTGCCTCTCCCTCCTCAGCACTGGGATTATAGGTATGCTACCACCTAGATTTCCACCTGGATTCTGGGGCCTGAACATACATGCTCATGCTTGTTCCGCATGTACGTTATCCATTGAGACATCTCTTTCTAGTCCTTGAAAAATATTTAAATGTCAAGATAAATTTACATTCTCGAGAATCCAGAAAACTTAAATAAATAAATAAATAAATAGATAACAAAAGTACCTCCAAACTACATATACTTGAAAAAGAAAATTGGAGAAAGGACAGGGATGTTAGTTTGCGGTCTTTTAGTTACAAGGCAACTGAAAAGAAAAATCTGATAATTGAGAAACATGAACACTTTTGATAGTTGATGCTATTAAGAGCTGAGTGTTAATGTTTTGGGTTCAATCGTGATCTTAAGATTAGACCATAACCTAAGGACAGTAGTTGCATTCCATGGAATGGAAGTACTACTCAGCGGCTCAGTTGGTCTTCCAGAGGACTGGTGTGAATACCCATGTGGTGGCTCATAACCATGTGTGACTTCACTTCCTGGGATCTGATGCCCCCTTCTGGTCACTGGGGGCATTGCACATGGTGCACTTTGTGCAGTCAGGGATAACACTAATTCATAAAATAAAAATTAAAATATCTAAAAAAGTTCAAAGTTGTAGTTCAGAAATAACAAAATGTTTGCAGATGAGTACAGATAGTAATGGATATGAAGAGAGTGGTGAATAGGAGACAGTGATCATATTTCAACCACCAAGGATCTGTACATCTGATTCTGCAGATTTTCTCTTGTAGTTTAATTGAAAACGAGCCTGGCTTTTCTATGCTCTCATGAAGTGTGCAGCATGGCGGTGCTGGTATCTGGGCCTTGGTGGGTGGTTATGGTATGGGAATCTGAAGTGTCCACGGTGACTTGAACTCTTCTGTCCATTTCTGGAAAGTGGGGAGACAGTGAGGAGCACATCCTGCCAGATCCCATGTGAAGTGGGTCCCGTGAAAGCCAGATGCCGTATGTTCAGGTGTAGAACTGGACAAGAATGGAGTGGATGACAGGAGTCAAAGGGTGGATTGATTACCCCTTTCCAAGCTTTGAGTAGGGTGGAGGCGCTTGGGGCTCTGTTCATATAGCCTTTGTGTTGCTGGTTCACCTTTGGTCACTAGAGCATGTGGTGTCAAAGGGGGCATAAATTAATGTTTTACAGCCTTTTCTTACCCTGGAGTTTGGTATCTTGGGTGTAGGAGCTGCATATGTAACATAAAATAAATAAGAAAGAAATACAATTTTTAAAAATCCTGATATTTTTTAAGTGAAAGGGAAATACACTTTTCAGATAAAACCTCAATGCAAAATGCATACTGACACAAATGTGTATATGTGTGTTTCGGGCAACAGAAAATTCTTGAATTAAGGACAGAAATGTTATAACTATAATTCAAAAGTCTGTGTTTGTTGTCAATAACAGGTGAGTGCTAACTTTTTAAACTGTGACACTTTTGGATTGAAAATTCAAATATATGAAGGTGACCATAAATGATGAATAATGGTATTAAATTACTCCAAGGTAATAATATTTCTGGAGCTTTCTCCTTAAACATCTAAGGAGTTTGTGAAATCAGAGATCAATATCAGAAGATCCTATACTGGGATCTAGATTTTTTCATAACCGACAAGCTTGCACAGGTATCTTTATGCTGCTTATCTAAGTACAGATTCTCAGTTGGAAGAGGTTTCTTCTGTATCCTGGAAGAATCAAAAGTACTATTGTGCTATAATTTTGTGTAATTATAACTAGCAGAGAGGACAAGAGAGAATATAAAATAACCAAGAATCTGTTTCCCAACTTCTAGTAAGAGAGCACACTTTTAGGCACAACATCTATGAATCATATTTACAGCTTTCAGGTAGGCACAAAGGGACAGCAAAACACAAAGATTTCTAGCAAGCCAGTTCGCTATGCTAAGGAAATCTGCAGGGTGAAGGACAAACCCTCCTCAAATGCCCAAAGCACTGCAGTTAGGGTCACTGAAAGTCAGCCTACCCAGAGTTATACACACTCCAGGAAGATGTGACCACTGAGCCACTCAATGTGTTGACAGTGACTTGTTTGCAGAAGACAATAACAGAGCCCAGGATTTCCCATCACGTCCCTTCCTGTTTCAGGATGTTCGAACTATTTTCAGTCTTTTGTGGAACGTACATAAGAGGAGAGTGAGGGCTTGGGTCAGCAATGGCTATCTAGAGAATTCTTTTGCCCAGCAAACAAGCACTGGGGGAAATATGACAGTAAGATGTCATCAGTCTGGAAGGAACACAGAAAAGGGGGTCAAAGGGAGAGCCAGAGTTTAAATAATAGATCCAAACTCAGTTTGAGGATCTATTAAAAAAGTTTTGGGCTCAATGTTCCTTTTGAAAGAGACAAGACTATCTGGATGCTAAAGTCCATCCACTGATTCTTTATAAGAACCACTTGAAACAAACACTACAGAAATAATGAAACTCATTTTTTTAAAGTTTCATATAAATTAACCAAAATGTGGTGTGTGTGTTTGTGTGTGTGTGTGTGTGTGTGTGTGTGTGTGTGTTTGCTAGAGAAGCAGAGACACAAACTGTGAAGGTAAAAACTTTATCTCACTAGGAACTTTTTGACAGAATGGGCAAACACACTTCCCTTCAAGTCAAAGCTATTTGAACAGGCTGCATTATCAAGCAGACAATTACCCACCGCTCTGCTTCAGTCATTCCAAAGCCATAATCAAACCCTGAATTCCACTGTAAGAATAATGAGAATGAGTGACCATTGAGTAAAAGCTCCAGTGCTGGGCATGGGAACCCTCTCTTCAAGCTGTTGGTCATCAGAGTCCAAGAGACTCCCCAGACAATATAGGCTATAGCCATTGTCCTTGCCTTCCTCCCGGGACTTCAAAGTAGAGTTCTAGTCCTGAAAATGTCATGCACTTCATACACATGGATTGAAGGATTTGACGTGGGTCCTAACTGGAAGATTACCTCTTGAGGATTAGGTCTCCCAGTATACAAAGATGTTAGGCAAGCTTCCACAATCAAGAGTTGTAGCCATAACGCTATAAACTATTCTATACTCCTGATTTTCCTGTTTGTACCTGCTAAATGTTAAGATTACAGGCCTGGTGTACTACCAGGCCTACCTTTGGGGATAGACAATGTTTTGGGCTTTAAGGTAAGTTTTTGTGCTATTCTTCAATGTTGCCAGCAGAGGGCACTCAGAGATGGCAAGACAGCCTTATCTTTTCCACTCTAAGCTGATGAACTGATTTTGCTGAACAACATATAGGGGGGGAGAGGGGGGGAGGAATCCGTAAGTTTACAAAGAGCTAGTTTATCTGCACGTGCACCAAACTGTTATGATAAAATAACTTTAGAATATTAATAAGTATAACATAAACTAATGAAAGCACTCCCTGGTCCACTGAAAAGCACTTAAAAGATTCACTGTCTTGTCCCAAGCTCTGTTCTGTAATCACTTATAGTTACAGTTACATTAAGAGAGATTTGGCACAGAGGGAACTCACACATGCTTAATCAGTGTTGAGAATGAGCAACAAGAAAGGGAAAAACTTAAAATACATGGAAAGTGTGTTAACAACAAAAGTTCTGGTATAAAGAACTGGAGACATGTAGTATGACACAACGTATATGCATCTATAGACAGAGAAACAATCAACTGCACATGAACCATGGGGTACGTCACAGGCAAAATAGGGACAGGAGAAAGCAAGCTTCTTCAAACAGCGTGTATTTCCCCTACTGAGAATGAAAGGGACCCTTTGGGAGATTGAGGAATGTAATATGGAGGGGGTAAGGTGTAGTCAAAACTAATCTGGTGGCACTTGATGGCTTGTGGAGAGTGGTGACAGTTTAGAAACAAAATGGCTGATGGAAATGATGGAGGGCCTGGACTAGGGTTGCTGAGTATAGTGGATCTAGAGAGCAGCTGTGATCAGATTCTTGCATTTACGGCAACATCAATCTTTACGGCTGCTTGGGTTTAGCAGCTGCATCAGCAACCCATATGCACAAGCAGAAATAAATGGATGAAAGTGACCCACGCTGAGGTTGAGGTGGGACTGAACGACAGGGAGGTGCAAGGCCAGATGTAAGTAAAGAAATTGAGGAGAAGCACCTTGGAAGTGACTGGGGCTAGGGAAAGGAAGTAACATTGTCAGTGGATAGGAAAGTATAGTCATATATGAGCGCATGTACCAGGAAATAAAGAACTTATTCTCAAGAATGAATTGTTATAGTCATAAAACAAATACTTTAGATATGGAATAGACTTGTAGGTAAAGGAGTAAGAACTGCAGAAGAGAATGATAACCACGATGAGGGTTCAAGGATATGTAGCCCAAGGGCGCCAAAGTACGATTTTTGTGGGCAGCACTGATCTCTGGACATGGAAAGAGGCAGCATCATGGAAGTTTGTATTATTACAAGAGAATTGATCCAGGGGAAGCAATGTCTTCTTGTGATGATCTTCCAGGTAAACCCTGAGACAATTTGTGTACATTTCTAGACATACTACTTAACAATGCAAAGGGGCCATTAAAGAAAATTGAAAATACTTTTGGCTTAATGACCTTTAACTGCTATGAAGCCATGCACTGTGTGATATCAAATAGCTTTAAGTTAGAAATGAGTTTGTCAAGCTATGTGCAAACTCTGAAATGTAGTGTGTTAGTTACCTTTCTCACTGTTGTGACAAAATACATGACAAAAAACTTAGAAGAGGGGTTAGGAGAGGGGTTTAATGGGCTCACACTTTGAAGGTTTAGTACAAACAGCAAAGAAATAGGTAATGGCAGAGTGTATGTACGGCAACTGATTATATTTTTGGTTGTGAGCCTGGCTTTTAATGTTTGAGCCATCTCTTCAGCCTGAGGCAGCAGATCATGTCTTGCCTACCTGCTGCTTGTCTTCCTTTTCCTTTCTTATTCAGGCTAGGACTACAGCCATAGGATGATTCAGCCCACATTCAGGGAGATTCTTCCATGCTCAGCTAAATTTTCTTTTGGAAACACTCTCATGGATGCACTCAGAGGTGTGAGTCTACGGTGATTGTAAATTTAGTCAGGCTAATAATGAAAATTAACCATGACACCATTTCCCTATATATGAAATTGGGGTAAAAATACAAATATTGCAAAAACCTACAGTGGTATTTTCAAGGAAATGATTTAATAAACAGTAGTTACTGTAATCAAGGGTAAAGAAAACCACCCATGCATTTGCTGATGAACACTAGAGCATGTTATCAGGTCAAAGTCATGACAGGATCTAGCCAGAACCTAGAACACCTTCCATCTCCTTCTTAGACTCTGCAGCCTGCAAATCCCTTAAGCATGGCTGCCATGCTTTGCACATAGCCCAGGGTGGAGAGCTCACCATTGTTCAAGAAAATCACTTTTCCCTGCTTTATGACAGACTTTTTATTTCCGTGTGTGTGTGTGTGTGTGTGTGTGTGTGTGTGTGTGTGTGTGTATGTGTGTGTGTCTGTGTGTGTGTGTGTGTGTGTGTTAGTGGTGGGGTTTGGGTCCTGTGGTGGTTTGAAAGAAAATAGTCCACAAAGGGAGTTCATTATTAGGCGGTGTGGCATTGTTGGAGAAAGTGTGCCGTTTTGGGGACGGGCTTCAAGGTCTCCTTTGCTAAAGCTTCCTTCAATGTGACTTTCAGTCAGCCTCCTGTACCTGCAAGATGTAGGACTCTCATCTTTAGCAACATGTCTGCCTGTGGGCCACCATGCTCTCCACCATGGTGATAAGGGACTGACCCTCTGAAACTGTAAGCCAGCCTCCTTATAACAGTTGTCGTGTCATGGTGGATTGATGTCTTTCGCAGCAATAAAAACCCTAAGACAGGAAGCATACCTACAAGACATGAGTCTTTCCTTTTTAATGCGGCAGATTTATTTTCCACATCTTCAATTTTTTTTTTTTTATTTTCTTTGTGACAGCTCTCTCAGCATATTGAAGATAACAACTGTCTTATGTGAATTTCTAGTTCTCTAAATGGAAACCTTAGGATCATCAGTTTCTTTTTCATTTTACTTATTTGTATAAGTATTTTTTTTATGTTTGAGATTATAAAGTAATTACACCATTGCTCCCCTTCCTTTCCTCCCTCTAATCGCTCCTGTATACCCTCCTTGTCCTTTTTTCAAAATGATGGCCTCTTTTTTCACTAATTGTTGTTACATGCATATATGTATATCACATTTACTCTTAA